GCAGTAATTTGGTTTTTAGACTGTGCATGTTGATGACATGAAAGATTCCGAACATATGGAAATCATGCGGTAAACTGCTCAAAGCCAACCTGATTCGGAATATAACCGTGTATTTTATTATGTCCAATGAGGTAAGCGTCTAATCGGGACTGGGTATGGTCTTTCCTCGACTTTAAACGTAGATGTAGAGGAGGAATGCATAATAAAATAAACATTACAATATCTGGGTTAATTAGTTCTTGTCTTGCCTGTTCGATTCGCTTTGCGGTTCCGTTAGTCCTTTTTTATACTTGATCGGTTAGAACTCGTTGTATCGAGGTTTTGCTGCTTCGCACATTCTTCGTATCACATCCAGTTAAATGAATATAACTCCGTGATATCAGAAAATCAAATACTAAACCATAATGATGAATCTGAGCGTAGTGTACGAATGAAAAGAATTAAGCGAAATAAAACGTAACTACGATTTGTCGAAAATGCAATTACTGTTGTATGTAAGCTCCTAATAATATTACGATCTTTTATGTCTCCAAGCAGTGTATTACATGATTACCAACGATATTTCATGGCTTTTTAATCGACGAGCTAGTGATTTTTCCCCGACAGAGGGGGACCAAGTAGCCCCGGAGGAGGAGCTGCGGCCCCCTGCGGCCCCTAGCTGGCCCGTCTGCATCAGCATCAGGCCCTAACCTGGGGGCCAAAACAATCTAAATTTGGTTGCTATTCACGGGGAATCTTTTCTTTGTACCACGCCTTCTAGCAGCTTGAGGTCGTTGCGATTAACTGCTATAAATGTAAGTGGTACCAGGGGCGTTATATTTACCTGGAGTATACTAGACGCGGGAAGACTGATTGCAAACGCGCAAATTAAAAAATGAAAGTGTCAATGACACTGTAGCTCACCACAAAAAAAGGACACAAATGAGTGAGTGAGAAGAAGTCAGTTTTAATTGAGCAACCATCGACGTACATTATAGAAACGAAGAGTATATATGGGAGAACAAACTCCCATTATTAGTCTTGATAATTATATGTGTAATTTTTTATGTGAAAATAAATGTTTGAGATGTGAAAGTCTGAGATGTGGGCGAGTGATGGCGTTACACCTAAATGGTCGCCATTTAACGTTTTTATAATATTCAGATTTAGGCACTGCCTAAAAGCGGAGCTCCCGATGTGTAACGTGTAAGATTGAGAAGATACGCTTATTCCACGTAGCTGCTGTACACCACGTGACAATGGTGTTTCCCTGCCCATAACACAACTTTTGTCAAAGGTTAATTGGTTGCATGGAAGTGTTTACTTCGCATGAGTTTTTCTAGGCAGTAGCACATGTATATCGCAATAATAATTTATAAACCAAAATGAATCACAATTTGTGACGGTAGATGGCGCTATACCCGCTTTGATGTTTCTTAGCGATGGCGTTCGAAATAAATAGGTTATGCTGCGTTCCGACATGTTTTGTAAAACTTTACTCTAATATAGAGTGGAAATACCAATTTTGCATTAAAGATATTGTCAATGAAATCTTGTAAAACGAACCAGACGAGTGTGACACCACAGACTGTTTGTTATCTGCGTGTCTATATAATATGCTATATAATTGCCAAAACCTACCTAATTTGCATATATTTTTTTTTAAATATCAAAACCCCTAATCCTTATTCATTCACATACCAAAAATGAGCAAAATCCGTTGAACCTGAACTGACTAATGGCAATTCCCATTTTTGCCAAAAAATTGCCGTGGCTCGAAAGTACGTCGACTGGCGTACTCCAAAATAGGACGTTCAATATGGGAGCATAGCAGTAACAACTATACCCGAATTCAAACGGGAGTGTCTATATCCAGGCCGGTACGGGAGATTACGGTACGCATATATTTGCTAATATATTGACTAATCGTGCGTCAATAAACTCAATATTCACAGAGAGTATAGCTAAGACATGTGTCTATAGGTATCTAGAATTTTAGAAATTTAATCATCTGTAAACGCACGTTTACATACACACGCACGCACGCATGCATAATAAATCGGTAATAATCGCTATCGGGTGTTGTCGTGTAGACGCTACATAATCGCTAACTCGAGTTAGCTTAACTCGAATTGAGGTTCGTCGTGTAGACGCTACATAATCGCTAACTCGAGTTTATGAAATGTGTGAAAACCATTGCCTCCATCAGAACTCAATATTCTCAACATCCCGATGCCGTATATTTTCGTTGCCGTTGGTCGTCGCTATTGTCGTACATGTAAAATATATAGTGAAATATATGTGAAATATATTTGTGAATATATAGAAGTGAAATATATAGAAAAGCTATATTTTTATATATAATTTTGTTAAGATCATACATCTGTAGTGAGCACATGTTCAGACGTAGTTAGATATGTAAAGTTTTGATCCTAATGACCCACTTCGTTAATAATAAAGGAGCCAAGCTTACAAATCTCATTTAAACTTGCGATAGATGATAGGTTATAACAGACAATCCCTGCATGCTGCCTACTTTTTACCATGAAAAATAACATTTTGTCTGAATTGTGTCTTTAAAAGTAAGAGGAAACACTAAGGAATAGGTTTCTATTAAAAAAGTGAAACTCATTGCCTCACTTATAAATAATAATAAAAATTAAAATAATAAATAAAATTAAAAAAAAATTAAAAAATAAATGTAATAAGAGCTCAATCTTCTCAATATTCCTGTTCCATACATTTTTTTTCTTCCGTCGTTCGGTCCTAGTGTCGCGCATGAGAAGTAATGTGTGATGCAAAACGTAATACATTCACATATAATGTTGTTGAAATTATACCCCTGTAGCACATAATCAATAATAGGTAGATATGAAAAATGTTGATCCTAATGACTCACATCAGTAATTATAATGCGAAAAATCTTCTAAGCCTTCTTCCCTACTATCTGCATGCCTACTATCTGCTAACAGTATTAATATTTTGTTAGCATTGTGGCTTTAAACAGGAGAGAAAATAATAAGGAATGGTTTTCTATAAAATAATGACACGCTTCCTCATAAAAGGGAGCCAAATCTTCTGAACATCCCTATTCCTTAAATTTAATATTGCCGTTGATCGGCGCTAGGGTGACACATGACAAGAAGTTGATAGCATAATTGAATATATTTATATATTGAATGTTGAAATTATACACCTGTACTGAGGACATAGTGACGGGCCGTTGAATATGAATAATGTTGATGCCCAATAATCATTTCGTTAATTATAAAGCGGGAAATCTGTCAAATATCACTAAAACGTGCGATAGTTGATAGGGACAGACATCGTTCTGTGTGCCATGAATTGCTGAAAGGAATTACATTTTGCTGGAATTTTGTATTTAAAAAGATACTAAAGGGCCGGACACACCAGGCGATGCCATCGGCCGATGATCGGCCGATT